GAGGAGGAGGAGGAGTCACCTTGAGCTCTCGCTCCAGCTGTTTCTTGATGTTCTTCTGAGAGTGATAGAGCTGTTGGCACAATCCTCATTCACCCTGTCACTTCATCCCCTCTCCCTCACTTTGGGTTGAGCTCGGGCGAGATGAAGGAGCGCGTTGTCCTGCGGAGGCGTCAGTTGCCTCGCTCCTCCTCCTCCTCCTCCTCCTCCTCCTCCTCCTCCTCCATTACCGTGCTAAGCGAGAAGATGCTGGAGCGAGACTTGAGGAGGCGGGAGAGAGCGCCTTCAAGAGGAGGAGGACGGTGAGAAACTTCGAACGTGTGCTCTAGGAAGGGGAACCTCGAGTGTCCGTGAAGTCCAGCTCAACCTCTGCTCGACATCGTTAGCGCCTCCTCCTTCTCTCGTTGCCTCCTCACCCGTGGAGGCGAAGTCGATGTCGAAGGGAACGATCTGCGATCGAGTCACGCACAGCAGACGAGCACAGGAGGCTGGACCTGCTCCCGGAGCTTCAGGAGGTGCATGACTAGGAACAGGTTCGCTTCCATCCTCCCCCTCGTCTTCTGCCATCCTCAACTCGTCAGCCTCCCACCTCCTCCGTCACTCTCCGACCTCGAGAGTCTTGCAGGCCGCCAGCAGAGACTCTGTACATGCTGGATATGGATATCCTCGTCAGAGAGAGGAGGGAGAGCGACAGCGAGAGAAAGAGCGAAAGCGAGAGCGATGATGGGGAAAAGGAGGAGGAGGAGGAGGAGGAGGAGGAGGAGGAGGAGGAGGCTCTGCGGGAGCAGCGAAGGGGAGGAGCTTCTTTCACCTTGCACCGCCTCCTGTGCGATCCCCTCGAAGATTTTCTTCTCAACCGTGCGGTACAACTAGACCAACCTCAGCTGAACCTCTAGCTCTCACAGCACGTCACCTGCGCTAGACACGCCAACGTGCGGGGCAGCGTGGGAAACCAGAAGTTGGGGCCGTTGGATGACAAGCCTGCGATCCATCAGCAGGAGAGCAGCGAAGAAGAGAGATCGACAAAGGAGGGAAGGAAGGAGAAGGAGGGGAGGAGGAGGAGAGAGGAGGTAAAGAGAGGGAGGAGGAGGAGGAGGAGGAGGAGGAGGAGGAGGAGGCTACTGAAAGATGAATCTGACCATCGCTGCTCTTGTTGCCAAACTTTGCCGGATAGTCGAGATCCTGCTTGGAGGGGTGGTAGGCCTGCAAGAGGGTTAGATTTGCGATCGTTCACCTTGGGGGCACTGACTTGAATCTGATCTCTGATGAAGATCTGAGCGCGGAAGATGAGCCGCTCCTGCACCTGCTGCCTGTCAGCCGCTCCTCCCTCCTCCTTCCCGCTCACCTCGTGCAGGATCATCCCACGCATGGCGACATGGCGGCAAGACTTGCGCCTCTGAGCAGACGATGTCATGCCATCGACTGAATACCAAGGGAAGAAAAAAAAGAGATGCAGACGTAGAGGCAGACGTAGAGGTAGTGGTAGAACAAGGAGAAGTGGAAGAGGCAGAGGAAGGAGAAGTGAGGAAGAAGCAAAGAGGATGAGTGAGGATGGAGAGACCTGAGCTCGATTTGATCCTCCAAGACTTCTCCCTGCCATGATCTCAGCCGGAGCCAAGAGAAAAGGTCAAGGTCGACGAACCTTGAGCAGCGACGCGAGGGAGCACAAGACGTCCAGGTCCACAACCTGTCAAGGTCGATCAGCCGATGTGCAGCTGGGGATTCAGGTGTGCAGGAGCTGCAGGAAAGGAGGGAAGGGAAGTCAAGGCAGAAAATCACCTTCAAGTAGAGAGGACGGAGCGCATCTACCAGCATGTCGCACATGGGACCCATAAGAGCCTCGAGCCCGACGCTAAGGAGCAGGAGGGTCAAAGAAGAGCAGGAGGACGAGAAGGAGGGTCAAAGAGGAGGAGGAGGAGGAGGAGGAGGAGGAGGAGGAGGAGGAGGAGGGTCAATCAGCAGGAGGTCAAGAGCCACCAGGTCAAGGACTGTTCGCACCTCTCTTCGATGGGTGGGAAGAACCTCTGATGCAGCTTGTACTCCCTTGGAGGCAGGAGGTGAGACGAGTCAGAGGAAAGACGATGTAGACAACCTGTGGCAGACATCGCACAGGTATGCACACCCAGCCCTTGCAATCTGCTGCAGAGTTGAGGAGGAGAGGAGGAGGAGGAGGAGGAGGAGGAGGAGGAGGAGAGGGCAGGCAGTTCGACCTGTCCGAGATCGCCGTCTCCATCCCTCAGCGCCGCGTTAATCTTCGACTGAAACATGCCAACTCACTTCACTGGTTCTTCTCCCCCCCACTTCCCCCCCTCCTTTTCCTCTACTCTGTTGTCTGCTCCCCTCTGCTCATCTTCTCGCCTTTAAGCTTCATTCTTCTCCCACTCTTCTCCCTCTCTTCTCTTCTTTCACTCCCTCTCCTCTCTTCTTTCTCTCCTCTCTTCCTTTCTCACCTTGACTGTGTCTTGCAGGAGTGATCGTCGTTGTTGGAAGTATACGTCCTACGTGACATCAGCGATGAATCCAACAGCATCACATTCCCCACCTGAAGATCAACTAGCAGCGAGTAGTATTCCTTCCCCCAGCTTATTCGTGAGGAGATCTGTCGGACAACGTCACACGTCCCACCTGCTCGCGCGACGATCATGCTTCATACCTTCTCTAAGACATCGCGAACTCCTGGAGGGAGGAGGAGGAGGAGGAGGAGGAGTAGAAGTCAGCAGGTCTAGCATGCAGAAAGCGGTGGCTTGCCTTGAGCGACAGACTGATACTGCACATAAGCAGCGAGAGCAAGCTCAACGTCCCCTCGAGTCGACGTCTGGCTCGTGTCCACGTCCCCGTTGTGCATGCTTCCTTCTGCCTGCTCTCCCGCATTCGCTTGCCCAGCGGAGTCTTTCAAGTGTTGCAGGACCTTCTCGGTAGCCGTCTGATCAGCAAAGAATCATTCCTCCTCGACCCGCCTCTTCTCTCCTCTCCCCCTCCGCTCTTCTCCTCCCTCTCCACTTGCTCACTTGCAGCGTCGCGGTCACGTACGCTCTCACCATTCCCAGCGCCTTCGCTTGAGCCTGCCAAGGGCGATGAGGTGGAGGCACAGGGGCAGCGGTCGGGGAAGCACCTGCTTGAACCTGTTCAAGTAGCTGCTGGTGTCCGCGAAGTTGTTGTTCTGCCGAGGGAGGCTGAGACGAGACGAGAGGAGGAACGAGAAATTGTTACCACTGAGAGCTGCCCAACAGCATCGTCGATGGAGTTCAAGACTTTTTCCTGCGCATATAGATCAGCAAGAGACCTTGAGGACCTCGGCTGATCTCACAAAAGAGGAGGAAGCGACGTCCACTTTCGGCTGTCAATGTGAAGTTGAGGAGGAAGGAAAGCGAAGGAGAGCGAAACAGATTTCATACCTGACTCAGCTGCCGTTGGACATTCTCAAGCTCGTCATAGATCTGAACTTGGATCAGGTGGTTATGTACATGTCCCTCCTTACTTGTAGTTTGGTCTCTATGGCTCCTGCTAGCTTTTCTAGTTCCACCTACGAGATCGTATCAGTTCAAGGAGCAAGAAATTCACACAAAGGCTAGCCACCTTATCTGCCAGCAGCTTTTCGCATTCCACATGAAGCGTGCTAGTCTTCTCAACGACTGTGAGAGTCGTTAGTGAGAACACACCAACCAATCATAGCAAGGATTTGCATGTTACACAAAGGATAACAGACAAGAGATATTTGAAGGTCTTCCTACCAAAATCGTGTTCACTCTGCAATCCTTGCAACGCTCCCTCAACAGAATCAAGCTTTACACTCGTCAGACGTCCTGTATCTCGTAGCAGGCGCTATTGGTCATACCTTGCCCAGGATTTGATCACACAGACTGAGGACAGCGCGCATCCTCTTGTGATGCTCCTGCGGTCTCATCAATGCAAACTACAGACAAGCTTCATCGGCAATGTGAGCATCTGTTCTTACGTGGACTTCCACCAGTTCCTCACTATCATCCTTATGATCGTCCCTCTGCATCAACTCTAGTCAGACCATCCCACGAGCATCTGAATGGTTTCACCGTTGCATCAGCAAGTCGAAGAAATAGCTGGGATATGCCGCCACTGTGCCAGTCATCTGACAGCCATATCCCTTTACACGGACCCAACCGATTTCTCGCACGCACCTGTTGTTGTCTTCTCGCTGACAACTTCATTCTCCCACTTCTTATTCGCCCATGGTCGCCTACAGACATTCGTTACCTCAAGGTCCATTTCTGACAATTACGATCACTTGGAGCAGATGTTTCCCAGGTCTGCAATCAGTTCTTGTTGCTGTATCAGTGAAGTCAGCAGGAGAAAATCAAATCTTTCAATCTTTCATACATCTGAACTCAGCATCGCGCTAGCATCCCAAGCTATCAATGAATGAGGACCACGAGAAAAAAGAAAGCCAAACAAACCTTTGCGACTAGACTTAGATGCGGTGTACTTGATCAATTCGTCTATTTGCCTGCTCGAACGTGTAAGCTCGGTACACAATCTGAACTCCTCTAGCATTTACTGAAGACTGCAACCACCAAATCTCCCCACATGACATCGATCGAGATTTCTACCCACAAAACATCGATCGAGGTTGCTAGCATTTGTCCCACACTACATGACCTACTTGGAGGTCTCCTCCTGCGAATGCTGCACAGGCAGAGGATCGTCGATCTCGTCCGCCTGCTTGATACGTCACGACACATTTGAACGCATCAGGATCAACACAGACCGCGTTGAGATCCATTTCTCCCAGCTGATCCTTCACAAATCAGGGCTGAGCGAAAGTCAGGGTATCGAATAACAAGACAGACTCAATCGTAAAGCCATGATGAGGCAACATTTGATCATCAGAAATCATAGAGGCATCGTATGCTACTTTCAGATTCCATAGCGCCTGACAGCAACTCTCTTTCCTTCTCTTCTCTTCTGCTCTTCTGACCTCAGCTTATCTCAGCTCATAGCCAGATAAAGATCATGAGAGTTGTAATGGGAAGGGATGGGACGAGATGAGACGAGATGAGACGAGATGAGACGAGATGAGACGAGATGAGATGAGATGAGATGAGATGAGATGAGGTGAGATGAGATGAGATGAGGTGAGATGAGATGAGATGAAAAATAAATCCCCAGATCACCTTCGACTACTTTCCAGGTCTAAATACTCAATATCCTGCTATCAACTCATCGTGCTCTTCTCTTCACCTCATTCTCTGCATCTTTTTCAAGTTCTGACCTCTGTCATAAACCCAGCCCCTGCTCAAGCTCTATTTCCCATCCCTCTCTTCTTCATTTCTCTTTATCTCGCCTGTATCCACTATCGGGTATCATCTGCCTCTTTCTGATTGCTCTCTCTCACTATCGTTTATTCCTCTCCATTGCCATCCCGCATATCCTACTCGCCATCTTCTCCCGCTGCTGCTTCCTTTACCTTGCGCTCCTCTTCTCCTCTCTCTTCTCGTTTCCCTAGCCCTCCGATGCCTTCTCCTCTCCTTCTCTCCCTCCTCTCCCTCTCCTCCTCCTCTGCGTTCATCGCTTCCTCGAACAGCATGTCGACCGTCATCAGGTGGAGAGAGGGGCAGCGGGGTGGTACCATTGGAAAATAAGGGGTGGTAAAAGAAGAATCGAGGGGTCATATCAGATTGCAGAAGGGGTGATACTGGGAAGATGGAGGGGTAGAAAAGTTCAAGGAGGGGGTAGGGGTGAGTCAAGTAAACGGTTATGTAGGTTGTTTCCAGTTATGAAACCGTTTCATGAGGTGGGATGCGGGCCAGAAAAAATGCCTCTTCGCTCCATGTACCAAGTTTGATAGGAGGAGCAAGCGAGCGGGAGAGGGGGGAAGCGAAGCAGAGAGGAGGAGAGAGGAGAGGACAAGGCAGGAGAGCATCTGAGAGAGAGGAGAGGACAAGACAGGAGAGCATCTGAGAGAGAGGAGAGGACAAGACAGGAGAGCATCTGAGAGAGAGGAGAGGACAAGACAGGAGAGCATCTGAGAGAGAGGAGAGCAGGTCAGGGTGTTTGAGTGCTCGTTCACTCCTGAATCCGAAGACCGTCAGCCATGCGTTTCTTGTCCACTTGTGTGAACTTCTCGTTTCTCCTACTCCTCGCAGCAGGCTCGGTCAGGTCAGAGGCTGCCGTGGGATCGCGATCGTGGGACTCAGCCTTCGGACCTTATCACTTGAGAGGCGATGAAGTGCGAGACATCCTCGCTCATTCCTCGTCATCGTCAGACAATTATTGGGGGAAGGGGTGGGGGTTGCATGCGAGGCACGGGTCATCCAAGCGTCGAGCCACATGGAGCGTCGCACATCACCCGCAGCTCCGGCTCACAACGCAAGACGCCAAGCTGCCTGGAGCAGCAAGCACGCAGGCGGGGCACCGGGATAGCGAAGCTTGGATCGTTCCAGCACTGTCACGGGTGATGGAAGGGAAAGTGGTTCCCCACGAGCGAACAGGGAATTCATTGCTTCCTTCCTCCACTTCCCCCCCCACACCCATTGCTGCTCCTATCTCAGCTCCAGCAGTGGCGATCGGAGCAGGGAATAATCAGCATCTGACAGCACGAGGGAGGAACGCAGCTCTGCCTGTCAGGTCAACGACGCTGGGAGAAGCAGAGGAGGAGGCCGAGTACTCGCCTGAGAATGCTCCTCCCAACGAGCCGCCTGAGGCACATGATAACCTGCAAGAAGATTTCAAAGGGAACGAGGGGTCAGTGAGCGAGGTGGACGTTGAGACGCGGGAGTTCGAGGACGACATGAAGAATGCCTTTGATTTGAACAAGATCACCTTTGCGCAAGTTCCTTTGCACTACTGGGCATGGTGGATAGCTCTTGTGTTCGCCGTGTTGACCTGCTTGATCTCTGGCCAGCTCATCATGGCGCATCTGGAGAAATATGGTAACTCCTGACTGAGTTAGTTCTTATGTTTTTGACTGGTTGAACTTCAGAGAAGCCAGATGTGCAGAAGTATGTTGTCAGAATCTTATTCATGGCTCCGATCTATGCTATCGATGCCTTTCTGAGCCTGACGTTCGACAATGCTGCGGTAATCTTGATGTAGCGAGGAAGTACCGCATGACCCTTGTATTCCCAGCCCTTCCTCAACGTCTTGAGAGACTGTTACGAGGCTTTTACACTTTACAACTTCATCAAGATGCTGTATGAGTTGCTCGGCGGTGAGAGGACTGTGATCGAGATCATGTCCAAGAAGAAGCAGGTTCTTGCACCCTCTGGCTCCTTCACCCATCTCACCTCGCCCTTTCAGATTGCTCTTCCTATTCCGCTTCACTGGATAGAGCCGTGGGCTATGGGGGATGAGGTGGGAAGGAAGAGGGCCGATGAAAGCTCTTGTTGACACTCATGGAATATCAGATGTTTTACAACTGCAAGTTTGGAGTCTTGCAGTACATCGTTATCATCCCCATATGCGCCATCGTCACCTTCATCACGGTAGCGGTGAGTTGTCTCCCGAGGGTGTCCCGCCGACGTGCCTTGTGACTGGGTGAGGCAGGCGGGGGCGTACGAGGGGCCGGAGTGGTACACGATGGACTTATGGATCACCATAGTCAGCATCGCGTCGGCAACGTGAGCTGAGGGCGCTGGTGCTGGGCAGCTGCTGACGTGGCGGCGGCAGGTGGGCGATTTATTGCCTCATCACTTTCTACCTGTCGATGCAAGAGGAGCTTGAGGCCTCTGTGTCGAACGCCCTTGGGAAGTTTCTGGTGGTGAAGGCAGTTGTCTTCTTGTGCTTCTGGCAGGTAACTCAGCTTCCCGTCCTCACTGTCTTGCTCCTCCTCATACCTTCCTTTCCTCCTCTCCTGTCATTGCTCGGCAAGATCCTCCCTTATGCTGCCGTTTGACCTCTCTCTCTTGCTGCTTGCTCTCGGCCACCTTCTCCTCCCCATCTTGCTTGACGCTGTTCCTCTGCAGGGCGTTGCGCTCAACCTGGTCCTCATCATCGGCTACATCCCTGAGACGACTCAGTACTCGGCGAAACATTTCGTGGGGGCGATCGAGCAGTGGCTGATTTGCATGGAAATGCTTATCATCGCCATCTGCTTCTATCTTGTGTACCCGGTGGAGGAATTCACAAACAAGACTGAGATGCAGACACGGACCTACGGGAGCACGGGAAAGAAACAGGAGGAGGGCACGAGTTTTGTATGATAGGAGGGGCAGCAACTAGGTGAGGTCAAGATTCATTCAAGTCGCCGATAAAGCCTAATGCTGAACTTCTTCAAGCTGCCACCGGATGTCATGTGGGGGGAGAGGAGGAGGAGGAGGAGGAGGAGGAGCACAAGTTCAGGGGAGTAGGAGGAGGGGGAGGAGGAAGTAAGAGGGAGCGGGCAAGGGGGTCGATACCTCTCGCCTTCTTGTGGTGGCCGAAAGAACTTGAGCAAGACCGGCGTTCCTGAAGGACCCAGCACGCGCTTGTACCACCACAAAATCTTCTCTGCCCTGCTGAAGAGTTGAAAATCTTCTCTTCTGCCCCTGCTCCTCCCCCGCCCTCCCTTCTATCCACCACCATGTCCATACTCCTCCCTGCCTCCTCCTCCTTCTCCTCCAGTACCGTCCAGCTTGCAACGTGTGAGGCTGATCTTCTATTCTCTCCGACTCCACGCCTGCCAACTCTTAGATGAGATGGGAACGTGGTAGAGCGGAAGAGAAGGGAAGGGGAATGACGGTGCGGACAGGAAGCGGAACAAGTAGGAGGAGAAGAAAGGAGGAAGGGGACAGGAGGAAGATGAGAGAAAGGTCACAGTGAGGAGTGAGGCGGCAGAGAGCAAGGGGGAGCAAGTGCAGGACCGATGAGTTTATCTCCTGTTCTGATCTCCTTGCTGTCATAGGCAGGAGAGTTGGGAAGGACTTCGACGACCTGAAGTTGAGCATGAGAACAGTCCTGGGGAAAGAGGCGAGGAGAGGGGATGAGAGGGGAGGGGAGAGGAGAAGAGAAGAGAGGAGAGGAGAGGAGAGGAGAGGATAGAGGAAAGCGCAATGAAATGGAAGCAGGACGAGAGCAAGATCAGGGAGGAGGGAGGAGTGAACATGCAGGAGGGAAAAGTTGGAGCAGGAGAAGCAGAAGAAGACGCAGAAGAGAAGGAGGAAGAGAAGCAGGATGAAGGGCAAGAGGAAATGGGAAGAGAAGCAGGAGCAGGAGCAGGAGCAGGAGCAGGAGCAGGAGCAGGAGCAGGAGCAGGAGCAGATGGGGAGAGGAAGAGGAGAGGACCTCCATATGGCTCTCAGAGTCAAGCTTCATGATGATTCCAACCCCACAGAGCTCGTTGGGATCGCCGCCGCGCGATTCTTGTGGAGGAGCTGTCTGCGTGACGGTTAGTAAAGAGGCGGAGGAGGGTGGAGGGGTCAACCAGCACTTCGAAGGAGGGGACCTGTATGCTATTGATGAAGCTCATGAAACCTTCACTTGCTGTTGGGAGGAGGTTGTTCTCGTCCCAAAAGATAGAAGGGAAACGATCACGCGCGACTTTGTCTTCCTGCAGGTCAAGGTGAGGAGACAAGGGAGCAGAGAGGAGAAGAGGAACAGGAGCAGGAGATCAGACCTCAGCCCTCTTGCGAGCTTCATCAGACTCCAGCTCCTCCTTGGTCCACAGGTAGTTGGCACCCTCTAAGATGATCTGCGACATCAGCTTCTCAGCGGCGACAGCTCGGGGCAGTACAACACTCACGTTCCCTCCTCGCACAATCCAGTTCATCGGCTTCGAGTAGATCTGTGGGAGGTAAGAGGGGGGAAGGGGAGGAGAGCAGGAGGAGGACGAGGAGGACGAGGACGAAAGGGAGGAGAGCGGGCGAGGGAGTGGGAGACGGACGTTGGTAGCAAGACTGTCACCTTTTCTGCATTCTTGAGGGCGACATAACCGTAGAAAGGATACTCGCGAGTGTCCTCTTCCTCTACATTTTCGTTGACCGTGAGAGTAGCTTGCATCATAGTTGCCTGCTCAATCTGATCATCTTTCTACCCACTCCAACTTCCACCACCTGCCCACCACCACCACCACCACCACCAACTCCTCCTCCTCCTCCTCCTCCTCCTCCTCCTCTTTCCAACTGCTCACCGTCAGCTGTCTTCTGAAGTACACGCGAAGTTTCCCTCCCTTCCTGGTGAGACGGAGCAGGAGAGGCTCCAGGGTGTAGAAGTCGCAGCGCTCATCTCCTACCTGCACTGCCATGTAAGAAGGCGAACAAGCGAGGAGATGGCAATTGAACCATCGAGGCTTTCTGTGGAGGGGAGGAAGTGGTGGAGGGAGGAATGAGGAGGGAGGAATGCGAAGAGGGAGGGACAAAAGGGGACGAAGTTGAGGGAAGTATACGAGGGTACGAGGGCAGAAAGGTGAGAGGGATAGGGAAAGGAAAGACAGCAAGGTAAACAGGACCGATGGGAGGAAGAGGAGGAGGACAGAGTACAGAGGGGAGAGAGGACGAGGAGAAAGAGGAGCAGGAAGACAGGGGAGGAGAACGAGGAGGAGACCTGAAGAAATTCATCGCCAGGGAGCAGCTTCTTGGACCCTCCTGCCTTCACCTCCTCCACGAAGTTCCCAGCAAAGGTGAGGCCGAGCGACCTGACCTCAAAGCAGGGGATCCAGCCGTTGGAGATGAACTTGTGCTGGGTCAGAGGAAGGATCACCTGCTGTAGGATCCTGAGAGGAGAGTCAGGGAGATGACAGTAATGTGAGGGGGCAAAGGACGAACGAGGAGGAGGAGCAAGAGGAGGAGCAAGAGGAGGAGGAGCAAGACGAGGACGAGGACGAGGACGAGGACGAGGAGTCAGACCTGATATCATGCGGGTCATGAGACCTCTTGTGGTTCAAATCCACGGAGCTCTGGGCGTGAACGTACTTGCTGAGGTTGTGCTGGAGACTTTCAGAACGCCTGAGAGGATCCCAGCTGGAGTTCACCTTGTGCTTGCCGGAGGTGGGGGTGACTGTGACAGGAGGACGTCAAAGGGGGAGGAGAGGCGGAACTGACGGTCTGACCGTCAGCCTTGTCGGGGAGCCACTTGAGGTCCAGGCGGGCGATGGCGAAGGAGCCCTGAAGGATGATAAGAAGAGAGGAGGGGGAGGAAGGGAATGGAGATGGAGGATGAGAAATGAAGGGCAGCAGGAGCAGGAGCAGGAGCAGCAAGAGCAGAAGCAGCAGGAGCAGACCTCATCGATGAGGATTCGTTTTGAGTTGCAATACTCGCACTCTCTCGTGGAATCGCAGAACTTGCAGGCGACGATGAGGGGGAGGGACTGAAATTCTCGTCCTCGAAGACTCAAAAGGTTTCGGAAGTCAACAAACTCCGACGCCACCACTCGTTCACCCCTGACATTCCGATCATTGATCCTCCTCCACTGACCCGCCTCATCGTCTTTAAACACCTCTGCCACTTCCTCTTCTTCCTTCACTTCCTCCTCCTCCTCCTCCTCCTACCCATTTTTGTCGCATTCATACAGGATTATCTGCACAAGCAGTTTCAATGACCATGGCGCAGCCTGCACCTCCTACCTCGATCCAGGAGCAGTCGGGCGGCGTGTCGAGGCTAAGAGACTGGTGCCATTCGCACTCCCAGTCTGTCTCGCACTCCTTGTCCCCTATCAGCTCCGTGTTCGTCCTGCCCCCGTTCGAGCTCGTCAGAGAGCTGGTAGTTTTCGTCCTCCCCTCACTTTGGGAACGGTCGCGCCTTTGCGGTAGCGGATCCGTTAGTGTCTCCTCTTTCTTCCCCGCCCTGGGAAGGGTCAGGAGGGAACTTCGCTTTCCTCCCTCTCACATGGCTTGTCTTTACTTTCATCTTCAGCACGCTGTTCTCTACGTCTTGCAGCAGCACCGTGCTCGAGCCGGCAACGCTCGAGATCTGCGAGCGGCATGACGAGCATGCAGTCAAGGAGCAGGGGGCAGACCGTCACTTGGAGGGAGTCGAAGATGTCTTCTTGCATGCCCAGCTGAATGGTGACTTGCGAAGTCTAATGTCAAACGTGTCAGCGCTGAGAGCGGAAGGAGAGGGCCCAAGGGCAGACGTTGGTCAGCAGGTCCAAGACTTGATATCGGTGCTCCTCCTCGTCGTTGACCCCTTTGATGATCTGGCAGGAGAATCAGATGATCTTCATGTTGCCCCTCGGACTCTCTTTTACCTTCCCGTTGTGATCGCGAACGTAGAAGACTCCTCGCCTTCCGCTTTGAATCAGAGCCGTGATCTCACTGGGCGAGACAGAAAATTCTCCGAGGTAGACGGGAGTTGCAAAGGAGTAGTCGAAGAATTGAAACTGATCGACAAGGAGGTTCATATCATAGATCCTCCCTCCTTTTCGCTCCCTCCTCCAACCCCCCCCTCCTCTCCTCCCCCCACCTCCTCCTCCTTCTCACCCGCAGCGGTGTATCCACTTGCCTCGTCCAAGCATCGGGCGAGTTGGCGGGGCCGGCGGAGTTCTCAAGGAGGTGATCCTGGTAGTGCGGGTCGTTCATGTTGACGGCGCTGACGCACAGCAGGGAGAGACAACTGTTGTCTATCGGGAACTCTGAGCATGACGCCGCCATCAGTAAAGGCAGCACAGGCAGCGGCAACTGACCGAGAGTCTGGTCGAAGGTGGGCGAGAAGGACTTGCCGGCGTATCGACTCTCAGCGTGGTGCTCTCCGAAGGAGACAAGACAACGGACCTCTGCGACTCACTTGAGCTATCCAAGGACACCCCAGCAGGCCACCAGCTGCCTCTCACCTGGGGTCTGCTCGAACTGATCGGGAAGGAGCCTGTCGAACTGCTGCCGGAGGTTCTTCCCCTCGATCAAGTGGACGTACAGCTTTCCTCGAAGAGGATACACCATCTCGTGGACCTCCTCGTTCTCCACCGGAAGAATCGTCTGCATCGGAGCAAACTCTTGCCCCTCCACGGCCCGATGATCGATGCTGAAATCATACCTCTTCCTGATCGCCTCGACAAACTGTGGCCCTTCTCCATCACTCTCCGAAGAGCCCGCTCTGCAAAATCCGGTGAGCAAGGGAGAGTCTGGGAGAGCTTGCGCTACGATGTTGAGCTTGTGGTGACTGATCTTGACTTGGTGACTGACTGGAATCCAGGACAAGTCAACCCCAGCCCGACCAGACAGCATCTTCAAACCTTCCCTGACACAAGAACCGGAGCAGCCAGACGTTTCCTCACGAAGTAGACTCGATTGCCTGCAGAAAGGGTCAACGAAGTACAAGGATAGCGCTTCAGCTCTGACCTCCCTGTCTCCAGCTCACGTAGTCACTTGGCAGCTTTCTGTTCACGAGGGCTGACAGCAAGCTAGACATCAGAGACAGCTCTCAGATCCTCTTTCATACCTCCCGCTGCTGGAACAACAGGATTCAAGGCCGCATTGCTCTGCTTCTGCGCAGCCTTCTTCTCTTGCTCTCGCTTCACGTCCGGATGGTTACGATCGGCTCTACAGTTCGTTGATTCATGTATGTTACAATACATTCCCCCTCCCTGCACAAACTTAACAAAACCGTCACTTATTTGTCTTTTCCCCGAAACTTTGCTGAGCTCGCTGCCAGGATCAGTTCAATACTCACAGTCTGTCCTCTACCCTGACTGACCATGTACGTGTCCTGGTCTAACTTGTTCTTCTCTTCATCATCGCTACCCTCCGCTTCCTCTTCCATTATCCTCCCTCTCCCCCTTCCCGTCGCTTCGTTGCCCAATCATGTTTTGACCTCTCCATCATAAAGGTTTCATTTCGGTCTGCCATCATTGTGGTTTCTAATAAATCCGGACCACCAGCTATTGTGGTTCCAGCTTCTGCTCCATTTAGCATCCCGAACCACAGCAATGCGCTTGCAGCCGAGCTGATCGCGATGCGAGAAAGAAGAGTCAGGACAGCAGCGAGCATGAGAGCAGAGGTAGACGTGCGAGCCGAGGCTTGCCTGCTAAAATGGACATCGTGCTCTGTCCACCCCGTCATAGGCAGTGACAGGAGATCCCTTAACTTCAGTGGCGCATGCGATGAAGAAAGCAGAGAGAGTTCTAGAAGGATTATGCTTGGATGTGCTGGAAGAGAAACGATTTAGATGATAGCTTGCCAACAGTTCCCCTGTGTACCTGTCGCGTTCAGAAACGTATTATGGCAAAACCATTGACTCTGACCAAACTTGTGATACAGGATGTTTGGTATTCTGGTACAGTTCCATTCTTCCATGTTGCATTATGGCGACGAAAGTAAGCCCTTTTGATGGTCGAATGGATGCCATGTTCGTTTTACTCCTGTTGTTTGCAGAGACTAAGTTTAGCGACGCGCCCGGGGAGGACTACTTGTTCAATGTGGAGGGCAACAACACCGACAACAAACTCAAGACTTTGGGTGTGAACGTCGATTCATGGGGCCTTGGCACCAACTGATTCACTCCTGATCGAAAATTCACAAGTTGGGCGGCGGACATGTGCGGACATGTCCCCTTAGCTGATCGAATAAAGATTTTCGAATGATGATGTGTAAACAAGAATTCAGCTGTGAATCGCAACAATATTTGAGAAGTTGCAGTTCTTGGCATCTTTGATTTCTCTGTGCCATGCGATACTGATTGAGAGTTCGCGTGAAGGAATGAACAAAAACGACCAAGAGATGAAACAAGTTCAAGGGGGCGGACCGGGTAGCGTTGAGCGGCATCAAGTCTTGCAAGCCGTCCCCAACCAATGAAACCTGTTACACTCTGACAGGAACTTGCTGAGTGCGGGGGGACACGTGGCAAGGAAGAGACGGACGTTCAGGTTGTTGCAATCAGGGAAGAACTCGCACTGCGAGGATGGAGCTGCGAGGAGGATGAGCGAAGAAGGAGAATGCCTCTGCTGATGGGTCAGCATGATGTGATGGAGCCTGAAAACATGTGTCAGCTGAAACTCTCTCTCCTCTATTCTACACAGACTGCTACCTCAAGGTGCTGGAGTTCTGTCGGGTGCTCTCGTCAAGTACCGAATAGATGCAAAGAGATAGGAGCTTGAGAGGTCTGGAGCCTGTCTTGCTTTGATTGGAGCTGGTCGGAACAAAAGACTCATGAGGCTTACTTTCTTGTCTTCCAAACTTGTACATGGAGCTTTTCTTCCTTTGCCGCTACCATCTGAAGGCTTGATCACACTTCGACAAATCAATTGACGATGTCTGCACAATCTCACTGCAATCTTGCACAAAAAAATGAAACCCAAAAGAGTTCAAGCTTAGGCTTATTGCCATGCACACTCATCAGATCAGCAGACATATTGTCTGCGTCATCTTCTATTGCTTCATGCCACAAGTCAATGGGCATGGGCTCAAAGCCCTAAGCCTTCAGACAAAAACGACCAAGACTCAGAAATGAAACAATTTCCAGATGTCTTACCAACATTTCGCTCATCTTCCAGCATCAGCAACAACCTTCCTCCTCGAGGCAAAGCTTCAGCCCATCGCTGAATTTGAGAAGAAAGCAACGGATTCCAGCACGTGGCTGGGGCTGTGGGAGACGGGCTAAGGTTGACAGCTTAGACAACAGAGATCCTTCCTTCTGACCTCAGAACATCAACCACTTCAATGTCTACATATTTACTAACTTTCAAGAGAAAAATACACCAAGGAGAGACTGATCGCTGACTACTAGGGAAGAAAGAGGTCTAAAAAGAAGCTGCCGATGACGCAAGGCAGGTTGGCAGTGAACTAGGCCACAGACTGGGAGAGCTCGGGAAACTCGATGAATTACAGCGGCATCCGTCTTATAAAGGCCAATAGTGAAGGGAGCGAAACCATAATCCCCGTGATTATCGTCATGATCGTCATTCTTGATCCGATGTTCTCTATTCCTGATTCGAGCTTGATCATTCTTGATCCGATGTTCTGTACGTGTTGCTCCATACCCTGGCGCACATCGTCTATCAGTGTTCTCACAGCAAGGGCAGACCTGCTGCCCGATTACCTTGATAGACCCCCTCAGATCCAAAATCTCGCTGTACAAATTACGACACCGAAAATAACAGAGAAAAAACGGGATCCGTTGGTCGATCAGCTTCTTGGATATCTCACGGTCCTTTGCTGCTTCGACAAAAAATTTCCTAACTTTTTCCGCAGTTTCTTCAAATTTCTGCCTGTTTCCATTTACAATCCTCCGGACCCTTGACCCTGACACAACTGTCGCACACTCGGCCTGGGAGGCCGCCTTCTTGTGAATACAATCGTGAAAGGTGAAAGATCTTAGTGAGTGCTTTGTTGGAGGGCTTGGTGATCTCGAAGCAGATATACTCTCCTCGTTTGACAAGAACGTTGTTGAAGCACTCATTGTTGCTACTAGCTACTGACTTCACATGATCGGGAGATGCAATGTGGCCCTGGAAGACGTCCCGCAGGTAGACGTCCTGCTCGAATTTCAAGCATAAGTCAGCCTGGTACGAGTCCCCAGCCCACGGCTTATTCTTCGTCCCATTGCCCGTCAGATTCTCAGAGGATGCCTTGTCCTTGCCGCGGCGGCCATATTTCTTTGGACCGGAAGACTTTGCCTGCTCCAGCTGCAGTTTTCCGGCAATACGATTGACATTGCTGAGATGTCCAGGTGAGCAAATCCCGCTTTTGTCCAGCTTGTCAGCACTCTCAACAGTCAAGATGATGCTTTCTCTTCTCACAACAGGCATGTTCCCTGGCATGAGTGCAAAGAAACGCTGCTCATAATCATTCTCTGTTTCACACTCTCGCGCTGAGTTAAGTCTTGTTACATCGCTTTGTCCCTGTTCTGCTCTGTCCACTTTCATCCCCGACCCTTCATCCTTGAGATCTGTCCCGCCGACCTCCCCCCGCTCCTCTCCCTCCTCCTTCTGCTGCCTGCGGCTGTCCTCCTCCCGCTCCTCTCCCTCCTCCTTCTGGGGGGGACGGGGGTTGCAATGCACTCGCCCGGAGGCGTCGCAGGCGAGGAGGTTGTCGCAGGCGAGGAGGTTGTCGCAGGCGAGGAGGTTGTCGCAGGCGAGGAGGTTGTCGCAGGCGAGGAGGTTGTCGCAGGCGAGGAGGTTGTCGCAGGCGAGGAGGTTGTCGCAGGCGAGGAGGTTGTCGCAGGCGAGGAGGTTGTCGCAGGCGAGGAGGTTGTCGCAGGCGAGGAGGTTGTCGCAGGCGAGGAGGTTGTCGCAGGCGAGGAGGTTGTCGCAGGCGAGGAGGTTGTCGCAGGCGAGGAGGTTGTCGCAGGCGAGGAGGTTGTCGCAGGCGAGGAGGTTGTCGCAGGCGAGGAGGTTGTCGCAGGCGAGGAGGTTGTCGCAGGCGAGGAGGTTGTCGCAGGCGAGGAGGTTGTCGCAGGCGAGGAGGTTGTCGCAGGCGAGGAGGTTGTCGCAGGCGAGGAGGTTGTCGCAGGCGAGGAGGTTGTCGCAGGCGAGGAGGTTGTCGCAGGCGAGGAGGTTGTCGCAGGCGAGGAGGTTGTCAGTCTTCAAGCCCTCAAGCGTCACATCCTCGATCCTCTGCATAGACCCTTCATTCGCCTCCTCTCCAGCTCGCTCTCACCTGCCCAATGCTTGCAAGGCTGCTATCCCGCTGCTCGTGCAGCTCTGTCGACATCTTCTGCGGGTCCCAGTCGCTGAACTGCATCCTCAAAGAGGACGCAAGGCATGAGCTCCGGCACGACGAACCTACAGCTTGACTCTGCCGCTTCATCGTGAAGAAGCAGTTCCCTGAGCTCACAAGGAGGAAGAGGAGGAGAGTCTGCAGGAAATGTTAGATGCCCCTTCCTGACATCAGCAACAAGAACCTTGAAAGCGCTTTCGGACATGCTGAGGTCTGCTAGAGCCAAGCAATCTGACAAGCTGAGACAGACCGTTTGTCTTATTCGCCAATCACCCCACAGCCTCTTTTCCTTCCCTACCTCTGCCTCCCTACCTCCTAGCATGCCTCCCTGCATCAACCTCCCTCCCTTCTGCTCCAACTCCTGCTCCTTCCTGCTTGCTGCTGCCCGCGATCATCCTCCTACTTTGAGAGATAAACACGGGTAGTTCTTTTCCAATCCTACTAGAAATTTTTTTTTAGCGAGAGAGAGGGAGAGGAGCGGAGGGGGTGGGTACCAGGTTTGTGGTTCAACAGATTAGTCCCTGATTGTCACAGATGCGAAAAAGGAAGGAGAAGAACAAAGGCACTACAATCTGATTAACAAGAACAGGGAGCTTCTCCCGGATGTTTCTTATTGCAGTGGGATGTAGCGCTCGTGCTTGACGGTGTGGGAGTTGATACGGTTGCGATAAGAAATGGCAGGGATCGTCCTGACGTTCCAGCCCACCTCGGAGAGGCGGTAG